TTAAATTATTATTATTATTATTATTTATTATCCCATGTCACTGGTAAGGCCAGGTGATCCTCCCGAGTTTCGACGATGTCAGTTTCATGATGCCTCTAAGAGCTTTCTGCGAAAACCACTTGCCTGGCATGGACCATCTACTGCAATGCCACACAGTCTTGAAAGCACCTCTTTTGAAAAATGGTTTTCAATTGATTTGATAACAAGCTCTGCTAGCACCTCGTATGACGCTTGTTCAAGCTCTGTATAAACCCCGGGAAGCGACAGGAATCGGACAGGGAAAGCCAGTTTCATCACGGGCAACGACCGGTATGGCCTGCGGATTTGTTGTTCGGGCTGGGGTACCTTTATCCACCGTGGCCCATATGTGAGGTGGCAGTTAGGTCGAGGGTAGAGGATGGTTTAGCCAAACATTGATTATCTTCCGTTGACTGTTTTCTCCAGACAATAGAGAATGTCGTTAAAGTTGTTGCGACTGTGACCAATCAACCACATTAGAGATGAGCGTTTTGATCTATTGGAAACGCTGCAAGAACATCGTGAACAGTTGCTGAATGTTCGTGTTCCTTCAATAGCTACCACGGGAATACGCGAGGAAGATTTCCAGACAATTTTGATGCAATACAGCGTCCTTAAAAATACCATCCTTTCTATGGTAGAGAACTTGGATACCTTGGAGTAATATATCGTGCGTGGGGATGATGACAAGGATGAAGCTGGCGAGGACTAACTTCCACAACAAAAAACGGCTCTTTTAGGAGCCACAACGTAAAAGAAAGTCTTGATTAATAGTTTGCATTTTCTTAAACCCTTTATTTTAGGAGGGGGGCGGGGATTCCAAGTTGTACGACTGTTTTGGTTACTGGTCAGTACCTTGTTCTGGACAATATAAGTACGGAATATTATACACTCAGGACAACAAGTTCTAGTGTTTCTTTCAATCAAGAGCTCGCGAGCTACGAGAATTCACTGAAACTCAGCTAAAAGCAATAATCCACTGCCCACATTGAAAAAGAGAGGCAACACTGGGCGCGAGTAAGCGCGCCCTCAGTTATGGTATCGTCAGTGGGGACCCGCAAGAAGTTAAAAACAAATGCGTGTGCACTGCGCGCGCGTGCCTTTCTTGGCCCCAGGTTTCCACTCTTCTGAAAGAGAACAAATTCACCTTCGAACGCTCAGGTATTAGAGCGGTTGCTTGCCAATGCTCTCTGGATACAAGTATTGTACTGTGACAGACGTTCTGCAAAGATATATGCACTCAAAAAGATCATACATTTATTTATTTATTGGCCACAGCCGCCACAGGTGGCTTTCGTGGCTACGCCAGGTTGGTGAGGGTACGCCGGTTACGCCAAGCATTGCCTTCATCATACGCTTCAGTACGCCGACATCTTTTCGATCGCACGCCGGTACGCCGCAAAATTTTAAAACCCACGCCGAGGATCTTCGGCGTAACCTAAACTAAATGCACCCTGGCGAGGAGCCCGTTATTACCCTGTGAATAGAGCTTGTCTTTGAAAGTTTACATGCGTTCGTGGCGTCCGTCAAGAAAGTCCATGTCTACGAAAGCGAAGGAAGCGGATTTCACATGCGGTTGTTTATGTCAGCACTTGTTAGCTGCAACGGCACTTGTTAGCTGCAACGGCACTTGTTAGCTGCAACGGGGATTGAAAGAGGACACAATGGAGGGCACGTACATCTTCCAAAGCATCGTGTGCGTAGAAATCCTCATAAAAAAACAGCTTGATACACAGAAGGGAGATTGCTTTTACAAGGTTTTCCGTCAGGATTGAGAAGAGCGTTACCACCTTTAGCGAGTGTTTTGATGAGTGTAAGGCTATCGGCGAAAAACACTTTCTTCGACGATAATGTTTCTTTATTTGAATTTCCAGCACATCGTCGGAGTGTAGGAGTGTCGAACACAAAAGAATTATGGCCAATTAAAACGGTGTGACAATTGCGTAGTGCTGGAAAGGAAAGTGGTAAAAGATTGAAGACATTCGCTCAGGAGTGTACTCGAACATTCTCTTTG